CTTCCCAGACTTTTAAGAAAAATTTGTAGTGCTCATAATAAATGCCATATTCCAATTTTTTACCTCAGCACATGGTATCTCAGCAAGAAAAAGCACTTAGTGATAGCAAAACTTGGGAAGAGAGGCCCTTAGAAATCCATGGAGAGATAAGAATGGTAGATTTTTTGGAACCTTAATATCACCACTCTATGTGCCAGCTTAGTATTAAGAGAGCCTACAATCAGAAATGAGTTACATTTAAATTAAAAAAAAAAAAAAGATTCTGTAATCTCAGTGCTGAAAAGGGTCTAAATGATTTTCACACTCACAGTTGCTTGCTGTTGCTGAGGTTCCTGTTGCAAAAATCAAAAATGTAATAGGTATAGTTCAAGGAATCTCATGGAAAAAAATACTTATTTCACTCTTCAGAAACTTCTCATTTTGAATTCTTCAGTAACAGAATGCCTGAACAGCACTAGTAAGTATTCAACAACAGATAAATGCGTATGACCCTGGAATTAAAAAATTCTCCTTTTTCCCCACAAAAAAATTCAAGAATCAAGCAGATTTCTAGTTCTCCCCTCTGAGCATGCAGGAAGTCAACAACTACGTTCATGTTACTTCTTACATTGCATAACAAATTAATCTTTCCTTTGTAGCACTCAAGCCACCAGTAAGTTTCAGGTAGTCCTGAAAACTGTCCCGTAATATGTAAATTTATTAAGCAGCCTAACCCAACAGTTTGTGCTTGCTTTCCTTGTGTCTTCTCCTCTCACTCTTGCTTTTTAGATAGTCCAGTTTTACTACACTTCTTACAGCGCTGTCTCTCACATACTAATCTTCCTCTGAAGACATTTACTGCTACTCCACAGGGGTTTTTTACCTCAAGATCAACCAGGACATCATTGAATTATGCATACTAACACATATTTATGAAATATGACTTTAAACCACTCTACCACCTCACAGTAAATATCCTCCTTTACATTAGTTTTTGCTATTCATTGTTCTAACTCACTGTTTTCTAAGCTACAGCAGACCATCTCAGTGTCTGCCTGCTAATGAAAAAATATTTGAATTTAAAACTTTAGCTGGCTGCAATTCTGTTTACAAAACAGTTCCTTTGTTAACAACAGGATCTGTTTTGCATAGTAACCTCCAGCAGAGAGTGTTTAATAAAATTACAACTGACAAACAGATAAACTTATCCATTCTGGATAAAGGAATATTGAAAATGTAATACTCTACCAGCCTAAAAACTGAAAAAACAAAAACTATGGTATTTTTGATAGGAGCCATTTCCGTTTGATTATGATAATTCCAATGCGTTTTTGCTATATATCAGAAGTCATATTTATAAAGAAATCACTAGGAATAGCCCAGGGCAAAAGAGTTTACAATTCATACAGTTTCTGTTAATGCAAAAGTTGTAATTCTAAAGCTACTTTAAATATAGTAGAGGATAACTATTCAGTTACTACTTGAAATAAGTTAGAGAAGCCTCCAGCAATTCAGCTGTGCAAAACGCTCAGAAAAGCTATTGGTACATAGGCAGGTACCCTCCAACCTTTCTATCCTTCTCTAGCAGCCACACAGTGGTATTACTCACCGCACAGCTGTTAAAAATACCTCCTGTGCCTTCCCAGTCAAAGACGACCCAAACACCACAGCTGCCACCTGGGAGTGGAGGCAGAACTCAGTGCCCAGAACGCTCCCCACACCACCACCAAGAGCTCCCACCAGAACCAGGGTTTTACAAAATACGGAGCACCAGAGGGGGAAGGGCAGGGGGGAACAAACCACAAAAACCACCACAAAACTCACCCACCCACCCCCCAAAAAAAATCCAAACAAAAACACCCCACCAAACTTACTTTAAAAAAATCCCACGCCCTCTAAGTTGTTTTATCACCACAGGGAGCATTTTGCGCAGAGTCTAAACGTGATCATTGCATACAAATTAAGCTATGAGGAACTAATCATATTTTGCAGTCAACCCATGAGATAAGTCAAACCTATGAGATAAGCTAGTAAATTTTTGTTTGTTTTTGTAAGTTTGCCTTCCCTATACTTTTCATCATTTTGTACATGCTGATCATGTTTATTTTATTTTTCCCTGTAATTTTTCCAAATGTTTTTCTGTGGAAGCTTTTATAGGACGAATATTCTTGCCACTCTTTTTTCTTTTTAAACCGTCTTTTAACTCCAGTGTGATCCTTTAAAAAGGCATGCAAAAAGCACACTCTAAGCAAGGTACAACATTATGCAATACAACATAACAGTTTCTTTCAATTTCTTTATTTAAATAATCATTTTCATTATCAAAAAAACCACTGGTACGCACTGGATAGTCCATTAAAACTTCTATTCAGAAGTTCAGGTCATTTTACTGAGTGTTTTATTTAAAATATAATAATGAACATTAATTGTTCACACTGCTCCCTCTTGTGAACCTTACTTTGCATTTGCTAACATTGGCTGTAATTTTCTTTCACACTGCCTGTGCACTGATTGGCGTGCTAATCACTGACATGCCTAGGACTCCTCACGTATGAGGACCTTTCATATTTGGTACTATAAGCAGGACAACAAATCTTTTGCTAGAGCTTAGTATAACTGAGAGACAAAGACAGAAGGACAACATCCAGAAATAATTGCACAGGCAGTGGTTGCACTAAATTAACAACTGACTTGTCATACACATCAGGAAAAGCATAATAAAGCAGCCATTCAGTCAGTGCTGACAAGTTTTTGCTGAATGGGTGAATAGTGAACGCTCTTTCTTATCCATTTCTCAAAATTCAATTGTAGCCTGGATGTTAAGACCTAAAGAGGTCTGAACCAAAGACGACAACCTAGAGTACAGGCCCAGAGGAAAAGCAGATGATGAACCTGTCCACAGTGACCTAAAACACGAACAGCAACAAGGTCCAAGGAAACAATATCAGCAGCAAAATTGCAGTCATGTTCAGCCAGCAATATGTGATGGAATGTCACAGACTGACATTCGGTAAAACTAGAGCTGTGGAAAGTAGGAGGCGCAAATCAAGTGAAGGCTGGCTGATAACCAGTTAGGTTTCCCAAGGCAGTACGCTGCTAATAGTAGCATTCAACTACTGCGATAAAGGAAGAAAAGCCAGGCAGAAGAGGTGTGGTAGGAGATACAACAGCGGAATGGAAATCACAGAAAAGCTCACAACTGGGATGGGCAGAGGGAGGTTGACACCAGGTCTGCAGGGGAACCTGCAAGCAGCAATCTCACTGGGCAGTGCTTGCTAAAGATACAAGTAAGCAAACAGTCCCGCTGGTGAGTAGGAGATTTAAGGAGTTGGACAGGTCATCAACACAGAAATTTAAATTACTAGTGTTGAGTGCCACTGAGTACGAATAGAGGGGAAGGGGCAGGGGGGAGAACAGCAGTAATGCATCTTTCACAGAACTACATGCTAGGGCTTTACTAGTATCCTTTTTCTGCTTAGTAGTTTTAAAATAATTTTTTTTTCCTGTTTTATTTCACCAGAAACAAAACTTTGTTTTCTTGGCAAGGAAAAATGATTTTTTTTTTTTGTTTGGCCTCAAAATAAATTCTGTTTTTAAATTCTTTTGTCAAGGATCTGCAGGCAAATCCTAGAAAAAAGTCTTCTCATGATGAAAAAGCAGAATAATCATTTTAAGAAATGCTGATAAATAATTCTCCTTTTCCTAATTTTTTGCAAATTTGGATTACATCAGCAAATAGCTTGGGTTAGCCTGAAACAACATTTTGGAAAGTATACATTTTGAGCAAAAAGTTTAGCACAGCTATGTAATTCTTACTTATGTGGAATTGGAAATTATTTTACTGTAAAACTGAGGTGTTGGGAAAAAAAAAATGCAGATAGTTCATTTCTTTCATGATCTCCAAAAGGACAATAGCTGTAACTAGAAAAATATCGCTGTCTTTGTTGCATTCTGCAAAGTCACAGAACGCTTCCAAAAAGGAAAGATTAAACAGACTATGACTCTTCAGCTTGAGAAAAGAGCTGTCAAATAAGAGGGCAAGGATATAGTAGGGTTCTATAAAATCAAGGATGGCATAGAAAAATGAACATAAAGTAATTATTTACTGTTATACAAGGACTAGGGAATCCAGCGAAATTAAGAAGTTTGTAGAAGAAAAACAGAAGCATGTTTCAACATAATGTGTAATTAAAACAGTAGAACTCACTATCACAGAATGCTGCAAATGACAAATATAAAAATGTAAAAATAAGCTGGATAAATTCAGATCCACAGCCAAGACTAGAAAGAGAAAATGATCTTTTTTTATTAACTTACCCTCAAGCACTGCCTGATCATCCTATCAGATAATTAGATCCTTCAATTCTCTGTTTTCTACTGGAATATTTTAAGCACCGTGCTTGCTTTCAAACCTGTCACACTTTTTATTAAATTTTAAACTATAAAGCAAATGCATGATTCTGCTTTCCGCACACCTAAGCCCATACCTGAGTCGAGCATGAAACACAACTAGGCCTCTAAATCATTAGTCCTGATTCAGCCAGGTATATAGTTACCTAGTTATCTTTTTAATTTCCACAATGACAAGAAAACACCTACATTCCGGCAAAAGCTTAACTTGACTGAAGAAGGCTGTAGTGAGAAAATTAAACTGTTGTTACAGTAGTGAGTTAACTACTCTGGAAATTTTTCTTTTTTTTTTAATGTAAACAGTTCACTTTAAGCCAGGAGAACTAGTTCATGTAAGTGATTCAGTGCAATTCCATCACAGTGGATTAACATAAACCTTTCAAAGAATATCAGATTCTAACTAAGGACCTCTTTGGTCTTTCATCCTATCAATCTTATTTATGGTATTACATTTAAGCACAAGAGTTCACTTCCAAAAAAGAAAGGTAGGAAAAGGAAAGCAGCTTGCTACTCAGATTTTGCAATTTTACTGCAAGAGACAAAGACCAAAGAGGAGATCAAATTAGTAAATCGATAACAGGAAGCAAATGGTAGGAATCCACCAAATCTACCTGGATGGCTGCCAGGTTCTTCTGTTCCTGTGATGGAGCCTCATGGACAAAACGCAGCCAATTAGAATGGCGTGGATTGCTTGCATCTAGGATATAAAGGACCTCACCTTTACTCCCACGAACCTGAAACATTAAAATACAAAATCAAGCAAAATTAAAATTGTTTACCAAACACACACAAACATGTAAAACACTAAGGCATGCTTGTGCTCAGCAAGTGAATCTTGCATTCAATGGGTACTCACAGCTGTGGTGCACATTCACCTTTTTCTATAAGCGTATTTATTCAACTCAGAATAGGGGGCCACTCAAATCCAGCAACTGGTGTCAGCTTCCTTTACTGAGCTCCCCCTCTCTTTTCGTAGCCTTTCCTTTAGCAAACAAGTATTATGACTGACTCCTGCGTCTCCCTAATCTGACGGTATGGTCACTGGTGCTCGTGTTCCTTCCTGTCTCTTTGTTCCTTCAAGTCCTCTTTTTCTTTACCATCTCACCAGAAACCGATACAACCTGAGAGGTCCTTTCCCATTCCAACCCTATCATCCCTTTTCCAGTTTTCCTTTCTGAGTTCTCCTCCTTCACGTGTTCTGATGCCAGCATTTTATTCCTATTCTTCTTGTCTTTTGTCATTCAGTCTGTCTGTCATTACTTTCTCCAAATTAAGGTTGTAAGCTCTCCTATCTCCAATTCCTTTTCCTTTCCTCACAACTCACTATTATTGTCCTACCTTCCTTCTCCAACACACCATCCAAGAGTGGACCATTTTCTTCTGTAACCTACACATGTCCTCTAACTCACTCCTCAACTAACTTTGCAGCATTTCTCTTCTGCTGACACTACAGACAAGGCCAACAGTAACTTTCTTCTGGACAAAAAGGATAGGACATTCTCTAATCTTGTGCTATTCCAACCACCATTTGGTTCCAACACCACTGAGTTCAGGCTCTTGTTCATGAGTTTCTGTATTCCTGCAATCACCCATGTCCATTCAATGATCTTTGCCTTGACAGTTCTTCACCCTTCCCTTCCTTTTTTCATACTTGATATTCTTCTAGACTCACTTGTCCTTTGCTTATTATGTTCTACCAGATCCTATTCATCCTCTACAGCTAATTCCTAAATCCATCTATTTTTGCCTACTTTCACATTTCCAGAAGCATCTCAACGTTAACTGGCAACCACTACAAACAGAATATGTAATGAACCTGAATTCAACTTTTCCACTATCTTTGCCGCTTCCCTCTTCTGTAATCGTACCAGTTGCTCAACCAACTTCCAACCTGAATTATCAGTTCTGTCTCCATTCCCATCCCACTACTCCATCACTAAATCTTCTTTTTGCTTCTTTATCACCGAATAGAACTTTTCTACTTCATATAGATTCCAAATCCAGTAGATAAGCTTTCAGTACTGTTAACTCTTACTGCCCCACACCAATCCTAAATATCCCAGAAACTTATAAAATACTCTGTGAAAACCATATTCCTCATTTCCCTTTCAAGTCTTCTATGGGCTTGGTTTTTTAGGTTTTTGGGTTTGTTGTTTGGGTTTTTTTTTTTCCTTTAGCAAGGGCAAAATCCATCTTGCCCTTGGATGGAGATCTATCTTCAGATCAAGGACCAATATAATTGCATTTATTCATTCCAAGCATCCTCTTTTACAGTTCACTTGAACATCTTTTTTATATGCCTCTCTAAAGGAAATTTAAATATGTAGCCTCAATGAATAGCAGTCAGTCTTAAACTATGCTTGGCTGAAATTTTATCAGAATAGGAAGTTATTTCAGTAAACAAATTAGTATACTATGTAGGTGACGGGCTGTAAATTATTTAGTAGAGGAAAACAAACATGTTCAGGTTTTGTCCACTAAGTGAAGAAGCCACTTTCAAAAAAGAATTGCGCACACAAGATACGTCATCTCCGTATCAGGAGCTTTTGGCTATTACAGATCCATAGAATTTCTATGACTGTGACAAAATTCCAGCTTACAGTGAAAAAATGAAAATAATAGAAATAGAAACTTAATATTAACCAAGTCATTCTTCCTCCTCAAAACACAAAGACATACTGCTGAAAAAATACAGCTGCCACTGCCATATAAAAAATGGCTTGTTTTGTTTTAAATAATAGATCATTTGAATCTCCACTGATACAGAAGACAGAGAGCCATGCAAAAAGGTCATACAGCCGCACTATTATTCCATGTGATTTATTTATACAATGAGCATATTTTCTTTTTCATCTGTCAACAAGAAGTATCTAGAGCAGGTATTTCCTACGAGCTAGGGATTTCAGCTAAGATCAAAATTAGATTGTCTTCATGGCTTTGTACTTAAATTGCTCACATTCTTGCTATATTTGTTTCTAATAGATGCAATATCATATTTCTTCAGTGTGACTGCTTAAATTACCTAAACATTTAGGATATCATTAGAAAGAAAAAACTGTATTCCATTACAATAATAGCTGGTGACAGCATGTTGTTCTCAGATTAAAACAAAAAAACGTACTGTAGTTCTGCAAACAAATAAAAGTCTTCAAAATTTATTACTGTTCTTCCAAAGTAAGACATCATATCTTAAGAAGGACACATAACAAAAAAGTGCCAATATTTCAAACTTTAAAAGTTGTTTTACTTTCAAACATAAAGATTAACCACAGTGAAAAGTGTCAAACCTACATATTTAAATGCACCTGGAAACAATATTATCTATCACTAAGCATCAGAATGGGTTTCCCAGAGGGTTTGTGTAGTCTCCATCCTCAAATATGTAGATACTCAAAAGCTGTCCTGGGCAGCTGGCACTAGGTGGCCCTACTTGAGCAAGTGGGTTGGACCAGATGACCTCCAGAGGTCCCTTCCAACCTCAGCCATTCTGTCATTCTGTGACTATCACCTTGGGAAGCAACGCCTGCTCATTATTGGAACCATAGTTTTCATTAGGAACATGGGCAGAATGAGTGCAATCAAACCATAAAAGCAAGCTCCAAATTTACACCAAAATACATGCTGACAGTCTAATTACCTCCTGAAAAGCCACCTGCCAAGCAGAAGCACTGCATTGATTTTACTGTAATAAGTTTGGACACGAGGAAAAATTTCTTTACTGAAAGAGTGGTTAAACATTGGAACAGGCTGCCCAGGGAAGTGGTTGAGTCACCGTCCCTGAAGGTATTTAAAAGACGTGTAGATGCGGCACTTAGGGACATGGTTTAGTGGGCATGGAGGTGTTGGGTCAACGGTTGGACTCGATGATCTTAGAGGTCTTTTCCAACCTTAACGATTCTATGATTCTAATCATCCAGTTCTAAACAGGTAATCCACAGAGCAGAACCTCACTTTGAGTGAAAATGGTTAACATTGCAGATTAGCATCTTTTGAGTAATTAAAGTCAAGCTAATGGCTTTATGATTTAGCTACCAAAGTATGGGTTATAGAAGCCCACCATGGGTGGTTTCCATCAGATCTTGACTTGAGTTGGAAAGACAAGCAATCAAGATCCTATTATAAAAACCATACGTTACACTATCTTTTCATCCATTCTTCTTCTTCATTTGCTTGATCCTTAAATTATAAAAGAGTAATTTATATTCACTTCAATGATACACGATCATCTCAGTTGTGCTTTCTCAGTCCTTGCCAAGCCATAAAGAGATGTCAAACACAAAGCAAAGACTTAACACGTAAGAAAACTATTGATAAAAGAATACGATAAATCCCTTAAAGACGTGCTATATTTTCTATTGCTTTTTTCACCTCGTAAAGAAATAATGCTGCATCAAATACACAGATGTGAGGAAGAAAAGTCAAGAAAAACAGTCAAAACACTGTACTTAACACGGACTAGACTGGTGACATTTACCACTCCTTTTCTTACTGGTTGCATGGATAGGCGAGTTTCCTAAATGAACAACATATCTTTGAGCACCATGGCAGTGAATCCCAAACTTAATCAATATTTAAAATAAACAAACAAAAAAAACAGCTCTTGCTTTGCAAATATATTTCTCAAACTCAAAGCCAGTACAAGCTAATCATGGTAGTCAAATGAAATAAACAGCTAGACTCTACATTTTCAGTTTAAAATAAGTGCACCTAAATATCATCCATATTGAATTATTAATGAATCAAATTGAAGTTTGGAATATGTCCCAAAGGGTGCTCCCTCCAATAACAGTCCACTAAAGTCCTCAGGCAGCCTTCTGCTTTGTGGCATGATTACCAAACAAGAAAATCAGTTTAATTAGAAGATATATCAAGAAATACACCTGGGTCTGCCTGTAAATCTGTTCTGATATCCAAGGAGACAGGATCAGAGATGGCTGTCACCAAGACAGACATTGCACTGTAGGTCCACACAATTCTGCTAACCACAGCAACAAGGAATTTTCCTTCCTGCACTCCTCCATCAGTGACACTGGAAAGCATGAGAAATGTACTGTGTAGCTTTAGTACCAACCTTGGCAGTTGCACCAGCTATAACAGCAAGGGAAGAAAATGGGATGACGGCGTCAAGCTGCTTATGTGCTCCACAAGAAGCTTAAAGATACTGCAACTTACCTCTCTACACCACAGAGCTAGGACTCAGCATGTACATTTCTGGAGCACAACAAAAAAAGCTCCCCATATTGAATAAGGCTTTTTGGCTTTCTTTATCTCTGAGAACCCTCTTTTACAAATATTCCCACACATATCCTTACCACTTACTCCATGCAAGACCTGGAGAACTAAACAGGATGCATTCTGCAACAAAGCTTCCAGTCCGCTCCCAGAAGACTCCTTTCCAATCACCCAACCACTCCAAGAATCTTCAGAACAACCTGCCTACCACAACTATTGCTGGCAGGAAATTGTTGGAAAACTGAGGACGTCTTTCAGGGAGAGGAAATGAAAAATACTTTTGTATATCACGAACTAAAGTAGAAAATTCTTTAAGGAAGATTTTCTTAATGTATCTGCAAGCAAATTACTGCATTTCCACCACACATCTGAACTGTTACAATCTTTTATAGTCATAAGGTACTTAAAATAGAGGGAAAAGATTTTTACAAGACTGAGGTTCCCTGATAATTTTATGAAGTAGTATCAATTTTACAATGCTAGTAAACATATTTGTGTTTAA